CGTGGTTCATCCGATGAGATCATCGTGGAACATGTGGGAGCCAACATGGGTATCCAGATCCCGCTGTTGGTTATTGACCGGAGAACGTCTCGGTCATGTCTGCATGTCTCCCGAACCCGTAGGGTCTACACACTTAAGGTTCGATGACGCTAGGGTTATAAAGGAAGCTTGTATGTGGTTACCGAATGTTGTTCGGAGTCCCGGATGAGATCCCGGACGTCACGAGGATTTCCGGAATGGTCCGGAGGTAAAGATTTATATATAGGAAGTCCTGTTTCGGCCATCGGGACAAGTTTCGGGGTCATCGGTATTGTACCGGGACCACCGGAAGGGTCCCGGGGGCCCACCGGGTGGGGCCACCTGCCCCGGGGGGCCACATGGGCTGTAGGGGGTGCGCCTTGGCCTACATGGGCCAAGGGCACCAGCCCCAAGAGGCCCATGCGCCTAGGGAACCCTAGAGGGAAGAGTCCTCAAAGGGGAAGGCACCTCCGAGGTGCCTTGGGGAGGATGGACTCCTCCCCCTCCTCTTGGCCGCCGCACCAGATGCCATCTGGAGGCTGGCCGCCGCCCCTTGGGGTGGGAAACCCTAAAGGGGGCGCAGCCCTCTCCTTCCCCTATATATATGAGGCCTAGGGGCTGCCCATAACACATGATTTGATCTCTCGTTGGTGCAGCCCTGCCCCTCTCCCTCCTCCTCTTCTCCCATGGTGCTTGGCGAAGCCCTGCGGGATTGCCACGCTCCTCCACCACCACCACGCCGTTGTGCTGCTGTTGGATGGAGTCTTCCTCAACCTCTCCCTCTCTCCTTGCTGGATCAAGGCGTGGGAGACGTCACCGGGCTGTACGTGTGTTGAACGCGGAGGTGCCGTCCGTTCGGCATTAGGATCATCGGTGATCTGAATCACGACGAGTACGACTCCATCAACCCCGTTCACTTGAACGCTTCCGCTTAGCGATCTACAAGGGTATGTAGATGCACTCTCTTTCTACTCGTTGCTGGTCTCTCCATAGATAGATCTTGGTGATACGCGTAGGAAAATTTTGAATTTCTGCTACGTTCCCCAACAGGAGCAACAATGGAGCTTAGAGGGGGAAGAGGTAGTCAACTAGAGGTAGGAGACGCCCCTTATATAGTCATGGAAAAGATCCAATCGTTATCCACATGTTCAGCCTGCGACAAGCGGTACTACCGCTCCAGGGGCGCGGTACTACCGCAAGGCCACGCGGTACTACCGTGGAGGACCATGGTACTTCCGCGATAGCAGCAGAGGTCGGGACTTGCCTGACTTGGGTGCAGTACTACCGCTTGCACGGTACTACCGCTCCCCCTTGCGGTACTACCGCAAGGCAGGAAAGTCACTGCCTACGAAGAGCGCGGATGAAATAAATTACATCCGTGCCTACTTCCGCTGAAAATGAAACAGTGCAAAAATCCGACGCGGTACTACCGCGCACGAGGCGCGGTACTACCGTGGAGTCGCGGATGTAAAAAATTACATCCGCTCCTACTACCGTGACGCAGCGGTACTAGGTATGAGGGCCACAGTACTACGACTCCGGGGGAGCGGTACTACCGTGGCCTCCCGCGGTACTACCGCGCAGGACATGCGATACTACCGTGGGGGCGTGGATGTAAAAAATTACATCCGCCCCTACTACCATACCGGAGCGGCACTAGGCCTGGGAGCCACGGTACTAAGGCTCCAGAGGAGCGGTACTACCGTGACTCCCAGCGGTACTACCGCGGGTGCTTGCGGTACTACCGCTCCTTAGAGCAGTACTACCGCAAGTACAGCAGTAGCCGTCAGATTAGGCACAACTAGGATAACAGAGAGATGCTCGAAAGTGCAAGGGAAAGGAAGGACATGTGTACGTGTTGATTCCACCCGAACCTTTTCGACGCGGACCCCCTCTTAATAGTACGGCTCTCCTACGACTCAAATCCACCAAAGAGAAACGTAGAACAACGCCGTCTTCAACAGTCTTCGAGGGGCACCGAATCGTCTTGTGCCTAGAGATGAAGCGACTGAGAAACTAAAGGCACACGATTAGTCCGCAAAAGCATTGTCATCAATCACCAAAACACTTAAGGGATAAATATGCTCTTACCGCCATGCATAAGCCACTCCAACCTGGCCCGTTGTCTCCAAAGGATTTCTTCTCTATGATAGAGCTTTGTTAATTTTTCGACAATTTTTAATTCTGCATGAGATGGGCCAAATCTGCCTTGGATCGCGTGCAACTCCTGTAGCTCAGCTTTAAGTCGCTGGATGTCGCGTCTGATATGACCAAAGTGCGCTCTGTCCCACTGACTAAGATCTGACGACAATGACGTCAACTTGTCGCTTAGCTCCTGGGCCGAGTCTCCCTGTCGTTGCGCCCATGCCGTCTGAACCACTGGCTCCAAGGCTGGGTCCCGCTCCCATGCAAGTTCATACTTAAAAGAACATGGGCCCCTCCTGCATGCAGCCTCATGCACGTAGTTTACGTATAGGGGGCAGTGGTTTCTACCTGCTACAGTTGCATGCTCCAAACACGCTGAGGGAAAAGCGATTGACCACGCCGGGTTAGCAACGCCTCTGTCCAGCCTGACTCTTGTGTACATGCCTCCCGACACTTTCTTCTCGAAGGTCCAGTCATTTCCTTTATATCCTATATCTGTCAAGCCACAAGTGTCTAGAGCATCTCTGAAGGCATCCATTTGGGCCTGACTCCTACTTCCCACACCATCATGTTCATGTGCATGGAGAACTTCGTTGAAATCGCCCAAGACTAGCCAAGGTACGTCATTGGTGCCAACTATTCCCCGGAGTGTATCCCATGTCCTGTACCTCTCAGTCACTTGAGCTTCACCATAAATAAAAGTGAACCTTGTTTTGACCTCGACCATTTCATCAATAACTACATCAATATGATACTTTGAATAACCAGCAATTTCGAGCTTTATTTCATCATTCCAAAAGATTCCAAGACCACCACTTCTACCCGAGTTACTAACTGCAAAACTTTTATTAAAGCCCAAAGAACCCATCATATTCTCGACCCTCGATCCCTCTATTTGTGTCTCAAGGATGCAAAGTACAGAGGGGGAAAATTGCTTCGTCAAATCACGAAGCTCTCTAACTGTCGCGGGTTTGCCAGCCTCGCGACAGTTCCAACACAGTAGACTCATTGCGCTTGGCGGGACCCCCGCGGGGGCCCGCCAGAACGTGCATCAGAGTTTTTGGGTACTGTCGTGTTCTTCCCACTGTTTTTGTCGCTAGTCATCCCGCCGGTCTTGTTCCTCTTTGTTTCCTGCTTGGTCAATGGGCTGACTGGTGTTTCTGGGGCTGGCAACATCAGCAACTTTCCTGACGAATTTGTTGCTATCGGCTTGATAACGGAAGCTGAAGGGTCTGTCGCAACGGCTCCCCCTTTTTCTATTATTCTCTGCCTCCCCCATGGTGACATCCAAACCTTGGTTAATATCGTTGCTGAGCTCCCGTGAAGCATTGATATTTTGTGTTGATCCACGTCCTCGTCCTCTCCCCGAGCGGCCAGTGCCTCGTCTGCCCCTTGAACCGTTGCCATCATTCGAGCCTCGTCCATCTCCTGGACCTTTGCCCGGACCCTTGAACCAAGATGCCTTCAGGTCCTTGAAAAATAGATCCTTGGGAGGATGAACTCCATCTCCGCACTCCTTGTATAAGTGTCCAAGGTATCCACATACATCACACCAATCCGAAAGTCTTTCGTACTTCACCCTGAAGATCTCTCTCTGGACTATGTCCTTCTTTCTGACCACCAGAGACACGGCATTCTTGAGCGGTTTGGTTACATCGATCCTCACCCGAACCCTAGCAAAGTTTCCTTCAAAATCCTGGGCCATTGGCTCGGCGTATATGAACTCTCCCACAGTAGACGCGAGAGCCTTGTTTTTGTGAAGGAACCGTTCGGGAAATCATGGATCTGGATCCAGATCTCTATCTTGTTGAGCTCTATCGACGATGGTTTTGTGTAGCCGTCGTAGGGTTCCAGCACCACCGCCTTGCCCTTGAACGACCACTGCCCATCCTGCATCACTCGCTCCCAATCACCCAAGCATGCAAACTGCAACGTATACAGGTTGTCCTCGAGTGGCCTGATTTTCACTTCCTTGGCCAGATCCCAGGCTGCCCACATGTTTCTGAAGAACCAGTATTGGCTGTAGGTTCGGTCCGTGTGAACCCTAGCTATGGCCATCCAACGAGTCGCCTCCTCCAAAAGCTCTTCATCCTCGATCACTACATCCTGGAGATCGGCCTCCTTCAATCCAAGCTCCTCCATCATTGCCTCTAGGTCCGACGTGAAGCCGCCCGATCGAAAAGCTGTTCACCCATAATTCTCTTGCCCGAGGTTTCTTCAATCCGCAGGCGTTTGGATCCCAGCCCCCCTTGTTCCTACGTC